CTTTCAGTGATATAATCGAACATGGAGGTGTATAATATGTGATCAAACACAGAAACCAATTTCAAATGGAGCTTCTTAAATGAATTCCTTATTTCGACACAACGTTAAGGATTACATAAATTGAATCAATAAAATTAATTTTCTTTGTCCTTTTTACTTAGGGAATTCATTTTTTAATTCTCAGTTCAGTTTTAAAAATACAAAATTCTTAATTTTTTCATTTTATAACTCCTCAATTTCACAAGCAGTACCGTAGGGAAGAAAATTTTACTGTTGAGTAAAAGACATTTCTATTTTTACACCCAGGATCAACATGAAGGCTTGTTGCCACAACAAACTGTTTGAGGGAAACCAGTGAAATTAATGGAAAACTAAGAATATACGAGCCCTAACCATTAATAATTCATACTGACAATTCATATTTCATAAAGTAGAAAACCGACAATAATGTTATACAAGATACTTATACTAAATAGGCAAGGTAGTTATACAAAAATTTAAAAAACTGCTATTTTACTAATAATTTAAGTTAATTTGAATTTTTTTATTTCTGACAATTCAAAGAAGATTAAATTGGATAATATTTAACCAATAATAATTATCGATAACAAGGAAGCCCAAGGAAAACGCATTTTAAGATAAGTATTTTCATATTTGTATGAACTATTATTTTTTTGGTTTTATTTTTGTTGTACGTGCAGAATGAATTTGTCGCAGACCTATTAAATTGATCAAGTAAATTTATTTATGATTGTTTAAAAATCAGTTGTCTACTTAAATTATTTCACTAATATACCAATAATAATACTATGAAAAATTAAAAAAAAATTGCATACTTTCCGGAGAAAAAACAAAAATTAGAAATTAGTTCTAAAATAACAGTCGAACTCAACAGTTAATTGTGTGAGGTGACAAATTAGTAGGAGAGGGAGACTGCATTTTTTTTCATATTGATTGAAAAAGTTTAAAATGTAAAAAAATTTAATTTTTTTTTTTGTCAAAATTCAAATGCTAAATGAAAAAATAAAAAAAAATTCAATAACTTTTACGGAAACTGTCATGTTTCTTGGAGTACTTCTCAAACTAAACAAAAAGCTGAATTCTTTTAAGCGCTTCTCTTTTCTGGAACCTGTAAATCTATTACTATTTTAAACTAACAACAAAATTTAAGTTCTTAGACCAAAATCACTTTTCTAAATTTCTCAAATTCTATTTAAAAATTGTCATATTAATCAAGTTCTTGCTTCTTGAAAAAATTATGGAAATTGGGAAATAAATTTCTCATTTTTTTATTAATTTTTGCACGAAATGTAGTACAATTTTAGTAAAACTTAATTAAATAACCCCTTTCATAGCCTCCTACATTTGAGATTTCTCTTGCCTTTATAAAATTCACCGGTTCGTTAAGAACTAATACGATTATTAGAATTAAAAAAAAATATTTGATTTTTATTATTTTTTACTTGGAAAACGTAATGCTCTTATACATTTTATTATTATTTTGTAAGGTAAAATTTTGAAAGAACCAATTTGCAACTATTAGTCAAAACTTTCAATTCAATTCTGCACATATAAAATATTACCTATATGCAACCTTGATTTATAGCTCCAAAAGAGTAACATATTTAAATGAAAAGTTGTAATTTAACACAACTAATCACAACTAACTCATTCCACAAACAACCAAAAAGCACAATAGGAAGAAGACTGTAGAAATTTCAAAAAGTTATACACGGACACCGAAATAAAACCTTTTAAAAGATAAAAAAATACTTTATCATAAAAGAATACAGGAAAAAAAAATAGTTCCATAAAATTGCAAAAAATTGCAATATGTTACCGTACATTTTATGCTGCACGACCATTTTATCGACTAAGGATACACAAACAAAAAAAAAATATCAATAATTTTACCAGCATAAGTAACGAAAAAATATGGCATACATTTTATTTTACTGGTGGGATTTGGTATGGAGCGAAGAGTAAGGGTATTAAACCGTAAATAACAAATTCCATGAAATCTTCTTTCTATCTATTTAGTAAAATTGTGGTATGTTCAAAAATTAATTTTAAATTTAAAGCTGCTTAAAACTTTTTTTCAAAATTTCTTAAATTCATTTGGTTGTGTTTTGCGGTACAAGGACACAGTTTACATTTTGTAAATTTTGTATTTTCTCCTTTCATAGCTGTAATTTTGTATTTCAATATAGAAAATTCTTTAATTTTTTTAATATTGCAACTAAAAATTTTTATATTTTTTTTTATTATACTGAAATTTATTCAAAATATTCGAAGAGAAGGTAAAACAGATTCAGCGACGTTTTAATTATTTTTTCCATTTACAATTTTCATTGCGATCAATTAAAATAATTTTTAAAATATTTGGAGTGACTGGTTATTCAAGTTTAAAGGTGTTCATTTTTAAAAGTACAGAGTTTCCTAAAGGAAAAATTTTGAAAAAACTATAATACAAGACTACGTAATATTAATATAGAGTTGGGTAAATAATATGCAACAGTTAGTATCAGATTAAACAGAATTGTCGCTCTAAATAATCACAAAATTATTAATTTTCTATTTTTAATCACTTTATAATGCGTCATTATGGGAAAAACAAAATTTAAGATTTCAACATTTTAATCTATGTAATAAATTAATATTAAAATCATTAATTTATTTTTAACTTCTGGATTTTTTAAATTTTTCCTATAATATTGGATTTTATATTATTTTTATTCATATTAATCCTCCTACTATTGGTTTGAAAAGCCCTTGTCAGATAACTATTTTTCCATAAATGTATTACCGATTTCCTATCACAAAGTGCATACAACTAAAGTGCTGATAAGAATATAGACCTCAAACTATGTTGGATTTCCCCTAATTTTAAAAAACTTTAAAAGCAGCCAAATTTTTTAACATTATTCCATAAAAACAAGCATCTTCTACACTATCATTTATATTCGTCTTTCTTGACTTAAAATCTTATTTTTTACTGTAATAAATGAAAAATAATTCATCAAAAACCCAACCTACAATGTGATCTTATTCAAAAGAGCAAAACCCTTAATACATAAAATTCTGAAATTCTAATCAATAACGAAATAAGCTGCTAAAAGAGGAAGTGCACAATCAATTGAAGTTTTTAAATTTCGCCAAAAAAATTTTATATTACTAAATTTGTACACTACATAAAATTTCTGTAAAAAAAAAAAGCCTAATGGACATGCAAAATATTTTTAACAATTCTACAAAGGCAAACAGTGTTCATTACAATTTAACCAATGCTACTCATAACAATTTCACTATACATATTTCTGATAATTTAGCAATGTTCATAAACGAATGCTGCAAATCTAGTTTGTTCCTGTATAAAAATATAGCCCTGTTTTCATTATACTTCGCAATATAATACTGTGTTTATGCCTATAAGTTCACCAAATTTCAGACCTAAAATTGTAAAATCACTTTTAAACCTCAACAATATTGATAATTTCCGAAAATTCATTGCACATCTAGTCGTATTATTAGTAACTAGAAATTTTATATATTTTTTTTTTTCAATCGTATTTACTTTTAATATTATTAGAGCCCATAATAGTATGTTACTGTGGGCTCAATTCAAAATACAAAAATATGTTAATAAAATTTTCAATTACATATTATAGAAACTATTATTTATGCGATTTGAAAATGCAATAAACTTTCTGAAATATCAATTAAATATACTTGTTTTCTATATACATATTATGTACATAACACATATATATATATGTATATGATTAAATTAATGGTGTATGTATGAACGTGTTTATATACAAATTGAAATTAGAAAAATAATGTTATTAAATCACTTCTTTGCAGACATTAATGGCATAAAAATACATATGTGCTATTAAAATCCTACACCATATTAATATAGATGAAACGTAGAACTTCTTTTCTCTATTATTATGAGAATATAGTACACCTACATGATATTATAGCAATGTTAATTTTATTAAGTTCTATACAATATATAAATAGTAATAATATACAATTATTATTCAGTATCTCAAAATTATAAAGGAAATATAAAAAAAGTAGTAGATATTATGTGAATACATAAACAAAAAAAAATTCAATAGGAAATTTTTCAAAAATAAATTACGAAAAGAGTATATGAATTTAAAAGTGTGTATAAAACATTCATTCTGAATTTCGAAATTCCTATTTTATCCTTTTTAGATCTCCTTTTGATTAATAGTTTACTACTTATTATTCAATATTATAGTGAAAAAAAATATATCAAAATCTCCGTTGTGTGAATGCATATTATGTAACTATTTATATATATATTATTGATGTATACACATACACACAGACACAAAAATTCTCAATTCAACCATAAAAATGTACATGACCACCTTTACAATTTTACAATACTTTTTTTCGGATTTTTTTTTTCTGAATTTTTGTGTATTGAAATGAAAGAGTTTAATATATAAGAATTGAATTCGAAATGTATATGTACTTGTACTTGTAAATTTCTTTTCAGGAAAATCGTAACTATGATTGCACACGATATTCATTACCGCTTAACAAACCATAAAAAACAAAATTTTTTTTTTGCTCTTAATTCTTAAATTTCTTTATATATACACGTACTTACACGTAATTTACATATATTATAACAATGTACTATAGGTGAGTAGCATGTACTTTTAAATTTAAATCTATGTATAATGTCCTTAGATCCTGCATTTCTCCCTCCCCCCACCCCATCTATTTATATCTCATTTACAACAATTTTACATACAATGTTCATGTACATTTATTTATGTTGTATACACGTTTTACAAAAAAAAAAATATATTATCAAAGAAAATAAGAAAGGGAAAAGAAAAATTCATTGTTAAATGAACACCTCTACTACCTACCTTTAACAATACAATTTCAATATTTTTCTTTCAAATTGAATGTGTAAAAACATGTAAAAAAAAATAGTTTTTTTTTCATACCTTGACAGCTGTATCCATTTTTATTCAATTCATATCCTTCGTAACAATCACATTCATACATGCCATCATGAATTTCATAGCATAGTTGCTCACATGGACTAGTATGACCGCACCGTCCTGTGGAAAAGGAAAAAATAAATTAAAGAAAAAAATTCAATAAAAGGGTAAAAAAAACAAAAAAAAAATGAAATACATAATAGGAAAAATAAAGAGAAAAATAATAGTAAAAATAAAATTGAATTTGTTTTTTTTTTGTTTTTTTTTTTTGAAGAAACAAAAAAAGATACAAAAACGATTGGAAATTTAACCATTAAGTTTTTGGTCAGCATTTTCTTTTTTCTTTATGTAAAGAGGCGCGTGCATTATTTTTACATAGGGATTGCTTTGAAGCTTTAACAAAGTACAGAACCGAAAACAGAAAAAAAGAAAATTAAAAGACAAAAAGGAACAACAATAAAACAAAAAATACATACTTAGGCGTACATAAAAATAAAGATCCGCAATAAAGAGTTATGATGGTAACCTTAAATCGTATTCGATTTTTTTTTTTTACAATTTCACTTTGAATAATTTCATTATTGATTTCAAAATTTATTATTGCATATATGTAGGAGGATTAAAAAAAATGATAATCAATTTATTGCTAATGGAGAAGAATGACATTCATTTATTCTTTTATAAAGCATTTAACTTTCCAGACTCTTAATGTATCAAGTACGTAGAACTCATTCATTCCTTAAATTTATTCAAAGTTTTCTCAATAAGAGAACAAAAGTTTATTAGTATAAAAATTTTCAACATGTTATTAGTAAAGTTTTTTCTCCAATAAAATATTTTATGTTCATTTCAAGTTAAAATTTTAAAACCTTACAAATACATTACATTTTATCAGGCGCGGTTCTGATGTATTCGGCCCCCCCCCCAAACCGTTTCACCTATTTTATTACTGTGAACAAAATTTAATGGGCATTGCACATTGTGCATCATAAAGCACTTTCTTGTAACCTTATTATGCTGAATTATAGAATTAAAGTCTGGAACTAAACTTTCAATTTTTTGTTTTATAAATTCAAAAACAATGTAATTTATTTAACTGTACGTTTTTTTTATGAAGTTATGATCAGATTTATATCAATCATTTAAACTTGATTTTTTGATTTTAACAACCAAAAAATTTACTTTTTGACGTTAGTGAAACTTATTGTAAAAGGTTCAATGAAAATTATATCAAATAAACTTTTTCAAAGCTTATTTGAATATGAAAAAAAGTAAAAATTTATTTTTATTTTTATTCGTAATTTTAAATTTACGAATAAAATTTAGCTTTTTATTTCACAAATCGCCTGAGAAATAAAGCAGCGTACTCGTATAAAAAAAGTTTCGACTTGCATTCAAAAATTTAAGGAAAATCAAAGTTTCGTTCTAAAATTTATGACTTGAAAACTAAACTTTTTATGAACATTGGTACAAGTTTTTATACTGTTCATTAAATTTTCAGAATGTCGTTTTGCTTAACTGTTTTAATTTTGGAGATAAATGTGTGAAGCAAATTATGCGCCATTTCATTTTACTCTTATTTTTTGGATGACTTACACTACATCAATTCAGCATAAAAATTCTTAACATTCGCTTGATTATTAAACAACATTTTTTCAATTCAATATAAGTAGTAGATTTTATCAATTAAAATTTAATTCTGTGATTGATAACAGTTTTAACTCAAAAACGAAAGCAAAACATAGTAGTAGAAATTCATAACGATCATGTAATTTTAAAATCCATTCAAAATTTTTTGTTGTTAAACAAAAGCAAAATATTGGTATACACAATCTCAATATCAAGCTATGCTTTCCATCATTTAAGAATATTGCTCTCATTCTCTTTTTATACCCTGCACTTCGTGAAGGGTATATTAACTTTGGTATGGAGTTTGTAACTACTTGAAGGAGTCATCTGCGGTATGGACATATATATATATTCTTACTCAGCGTAAAATTCTGCGTCGATTTAGACATGTCCGTCCGTCCGTCCGTCCGTCCGTCCGATCGCACGATAACTCAAAAACGAATAATGCAATCGACACCAAACTTTCACAAGTTTTTTCTTTTGTGCCAAGGACGAACCCTATTGTTATTGGACTAAGTCGGACAACGGGTTCGGGTAGCTGCCATACAACTCCAAGAGTTGATTTTAAATATTTCAAAAACTAATAAAGCTATAAATATAAAATTTTGTATACATGTGTCCAATTATATTCTACACATGCTCTAAAAATTATAATGGGATAGCTGCACCGGTTCGGGTGGCTGCCATACAACTCCAACAGCAAATTTTTTATATTCGGAAAAATAATAAAGTCAGATTCATGAAACTTGGCAGTCATGTGTCCAATTATAGGTCAAATATATTTCTGAAGTTTTAGAGGAATCGCTTGACAGGTTTGGGTACCTGCCATACAACTCCAGAAGCTAATTTTAAATATTTGGAAAAATAATAAAGTCAGATTCATGAAACTTGGCAGTCATGTGTCCAATTATGGCTCAAATATATTTCTGAAGTTTTGGTGGAATTGCTTGACAGGTTCGAGTGGATCCCATACAAGTCTAAAAGCTTATTCTTAATATTTTTAAAAATAATAAAGTCAGATTCATGAAACTTGGCAGTTATGTTTCCGAGTTTAGATCAGATATATTTGTGAAGTTTTGGTGGAATTGCTTGGCAGGTTCAGGTACTTACCATACAACTCCACAAGCTAATTTTAAATAATTGCAAAAATTATAAAGTCAGATTCATGAAACTTGGCAGTCGGATGTCTAATTATAGGTCAGACATATTCGTGAAGTTTCTATAGAATGATTTCAGAGGTTCGAGTAATTGCTACACAATAATGAAAGGTGCAGGGTATAATTCAATCGGTTTGTACCGACTGAAACGTTTTTACTTGTTCTAATTTCTTTCTATTCTCATTCTTAATTTGTGTTTTTTTTTGTTTTGTTCTTGTTGTTTACTAATGCAATAGTATACAGAAAAAGTAATACATTATAATAATGTGTTTGTTTGTTTGGTGAGTGGGCGACAACTAAGCAAAAATAAAATTTTGCATGTATGAAACAATTTAAATATAATGTGTACGAACGAGTGTAGCCAGGGAGATCACTAAGCATAATAAAAACATTGCTTTGTGATATAATTATATGTGTACGAGCGAGTGTTGACAGGGAGCAATCTCAGCAAAATAAAAATTTTGCTTTATGAGATAATTATATGTGTACGCATGAATGTTGATCTTATACATATTAGGCAATATAAATTATGTGTACATGTGTATTTTTGAATATTTTTATTTGTTGCGTACATTGTTTCTATATATGTATGTATATTATATGAGACGATTTCACTTATATATATGAACGATTGAATGTATACAGCTGTGTGAAATAATATTCTGTGTTTATAGGCATATACAATCCATAAAAAATAATAATGAAAGAGTAGTGTAGAGTAAAGAAATGTATGAGTAATTTTAATTCTATGAACATTTTTTGTTATATGGTGCAAATAGAAAATATGTATAGGAACAAAATATTATGTTTGCATGTAGGTAGATTTTATTAAGTTAATTTCGCTATAAATTGATGTATAAAAAAAAACTCGGAATCCTTTTTTGGGTGAAAATTTTTTTTTTTTAAATTTAGGGGTTTTTTAAGTTTTCAATGGCGCCCCTATTTTTTATCGCCCATTGCAAATGCATACTTTGCATGTATGATAAATCCGGGGCTGCATTTTATTTAAACATAATTTTTTACGAGTATGCATAGCAGCTATAACTAGGGACAATATTTTTTTATTGAGATTTCTTTATTAAAATTTTTCAATGGTCTTACATTATTTCTTAAATTCAAGAAATGTTTACCATAATTCTTCAATTGATATTGTCCTAACTGTATTGTCCTAAGAAATGACTGCCATTTTATATCACTTTACTTTTACAAGTGACATATTGCGTCTTGCTTCAATTTTATAATTAGCACTTTTCCAAAAAAAATTTTGAAAAAAAGTGCTTATTAGTTTCACTCTGTTCGTCCGTCCGTCTGTCCGTCTGTCCGTGTGTCTGTTTACAAAATTTCTACACCCTTGAAGATAGAAACCTGAAATTTTGTATGTACATAGTAAACTAAGTTCCGTAGAACATAATTTTTACCTATCTCACCCCCTCTAAAAGTTATACCCCCAAAAACCCTAAAAATGGCCTTTTTTAACTATTTGTTGCAATGAAACCATAAGCATTTTTCACATTTGCAAAGGCAGAAAAGCATTGGGTTGCTTCTTCTATCACGGCATACTATACTTGAGCTTTAAAAAAACAAAATGGTGGTTAAAATTTACCGTTATATAAAATTAGTCTTTTTTCAAATTTTTGATATTTTTCCTTCTAGACCCCAGCCTGTAGAAGCTTGAAATTTTAGTAGCTTTTAGACACTAACAAATAGTTCATTTCGTTAGAAGAAAATTTTTTTCCATCTCTACCTCCTCTGTTAAGTTATCGCCTCTTGAAATTTGTAAAATTTGAATTTTTGACGCCTTATATTTCAAAAACCGTATGCTTTTCAAATTTCTATGAACGCAAAAAGCTAACAGTAAATTCCATGACATTAAAAAATATAATTATTTTTCTTTACTCACGCAACTAACTCTCAAAATCGAGCATTATGTTAACCCCTCTTTTAATTAATTTTTGCTTTATTTCAAAGACTGCATAAATCGTTAGTCCTAAATATATGCAGTCCTAGAAAGAGTATCGTATATGAATGAAAATATTTTTAATAGTGTGTTAGATGTACATAGAATGTATTTAAAAGCAAAATTTTCACTTGTTGAAGGGAAAAGTGCTACAATACAAGCCCTTGGTTTGACTCAACTTTATTTTAAGTTTTATTGCATACTTTTGGTATGAATAATTTATTATTGCCAATAACAAAACCAAATGCGATCTGTATAACAAAAACTTTTATCGTGTTGGTGGCAAAATAGAAAACTTAACGTAAAATTGGGTTTTAACATATTGTATCCTTCAGTGCGTCGCTTAAGCATCTTCTTTCTAACAAAATAAGAAAAGT